CTACTAAATGAAAACATGAGAGAAACACTCCAGGAAGTAGGACTTGGCAAAGACTTTATGAATAAGACTTCAAAAGCAAAAGCAACAAAAGAAAAAAAAATAAACTAATGGGATTATATTAAACTAAGAAGCTTCTGTACAGCAAAAGAAACAATCAACAGAGCAAAACAACAACCTCTGGAATGGGAGAAAATATTTGCAAACCATACATCTGACAAAGGATTAATATCCATAATACATAAGGAACTCAAACAACTACACAGTAGAAAAAAAATAATAATCTAATTTTCAAAGAGCAAAGGAGATGAATAGACATTTTTCAAAGGATTATATACAAATGTCCAAAAGGCATGTGAAAAATGCACACCATCACTAATAATCAGGGAAATGAAAATCAAAACCACATTGAGATATCATTTCACCCCAGTTAGACTGGCAAGTATTGAAAAGACTGAGAATATCAAATGCTGGCAAGGATGTGGAAGAAGGGTAATCCTCTTACATTTTGGGGGAGACCATAAATTAATGCACCAATTATGGAAAACAATATGGAGGCTTCTGAAACACCTATAGATAGAGCTGCCCTATGATGCAGCAATCCAAATTCTGGGTATATACCCCAAGTAATGGAAATAATCATACCTGCACTCCCATGTTCATCACAGTTCTATTTACTATAGCCAAAATATGGAACCAACCTAAATGTCCATTGATGGATGACTAGATATGGAAAATGTGGTATGTCTACTCAGCCATAATACAGAATGAAACTGTCATTTGCAGCAACACAGATGAACTTTGAGAAAATTATGTATTGTAAGCCAGACACAGAAAGAGGAATACTGTATGTCCTTACTCAAAGAAGTATTCTAAGGAGGAAGGAAGGAAGGCAAAAAAAAAAAAAAGAGAAGGAAGGAAGGAAGGAAGGAAGGAAGGAAGGAAGGAAGGAAGGAAGGAAGGAAGGAAAAGAGCATAATAATATGTTGAACTTTCAGAAGAAGAGAATAAATCTATGGTTGCTAGAGGTGGAAGGGTGGAAGGGAGAGGGGACTTGGGGAGAGATTCAGTAGGGGGCATAAAGAATAATTATGCTTTGTAATAATAAATATGCTAATAATATTTATTTGATCAACAAATGTACACAGGTAATGGTAGTCAACATTATACCCCAAAAATATGTATAATCAATTATACTTCAATTAAAGTTTTTTTTTCTTTTGTGTATCTTTTGTATTGTTTATTTGGTCTCTGTTTCATTTAGTTCTGCTCTGATCTTAATTATTTTTCTGTCTACTAACTTGGGGTTTGGATTGATCTTTTTTTTTTTTCTAGTTGTTTGAAGTGTAACAATATGTTGTCTCCTCTTTTGATGTAAGTATTCATTGCAACAAACTTCCCCACTAGTACTGCTTTTTCAGTATCTCATAGGTTTCGGTATGATTTATTTTTATTATTTTCAAGAAATGTTCCATTTGATGATGAGAAGAACATGTATTCTGTAGTTATTGGGTGAAATGTTCTATAAATGTCTGCCAAGTCCAATTTTTCTAAAGTGTAGTATAAATTGATGTTTCTCTGTTTATTTGTTGCCTAGAAGATCTGTCCAATGTTGGGAGAGGGGTGTGAGGTCCCCAACTCTTATTATATTGAGGTCTATATCTGTCTTTAGGTCTAATAGTGTTTGCTGTATACATCTTGGCACTCTGATGTGGGGTGTGTATATATTTATGATTGTTATGTATTCTGGCTGGATACACCCCTTTATCATTTTGTAATGACTTTCTTTTCTATTTTTATAGTTTTTGGTTCAAAATCTAGTTCATCTGATATAAGAATAGCTAATCCTGATCATTTTTGGTTTCCATTTGCATGCTATATCATTTCCAGCACTTCACTGTTAGTCTCTGTGAATCTTTACAGGGGAGGTGAGTTTTCTCTGGCAGCATATAGTTGGGTGTTTTTTTTTTTTTTTTTTTTAAATACATTCAGCCAGTCTATGTCTCTTGAGCGGGAAATTCCATCCATTTACATTTACAGTTGTTATTAAGAAGTACTGTTTTACTCCTGGCATTTTATTAATTTTATATGGTTATTCTATATTTCTTTTGTTCTCTTGTATTTCTTTTATCATTTGTCTTCAGTGTTTGTTGGTTTTTTTAAATGATAAGATAGAGTTTCTCTTTCTCACTTGGATATCTGCTCTACAAGTGGATTTTGTTCTGCCTGGTGTATTTATGGTGTTGATTATCATTTCTTGGATTCCAGATGCAGGAATCCCTTTAGGATTTCCTGTAGGGCTGGTCATGTGGTGGTGAACTCACACAGTTTTGGTTTGTCTGGTGAACACACTATTTCTCTTTTATTTCTGAAGGATAGTCTTGCTGGGTGTAGTATTCTTGGCTGGCACTGAATATTCTTGGATTGCATTGGCTGTTTGGGATCTTTTGTTGTTCCATATAAATTTTTAGATTTTGTTTTTCTATTTCTATGAAGTATGTCATTAGCAGTTTGATGGGGATTGTGTTGAATATGTAGATCACATTGTGTAGTATGGCCATTTTGACAATATTGATTCTTTCAATTTCGTGAGCATGGGATATCTTCTCATTTTTTTGCATCTTTTAAAATTGTTTAATCAGTGTTTTATAGTTTTCCTTTCAGTGATCTTTTGCTTTCTTGGCTAAATTTATACCTAGGTATTTTATTTTATTGTATTATTATGTTACTATTGTAAATGGAATTGCTTCATTGAATTCTTTTTCTATTGTTGATGTATTTTGTTTATGTATTAAATGCTTCTAATTTTTGTGTGTTGATTTTGTGTCCTGTAACTTTATTGAATTTGTTTATCAGGCCTAAGTGTTCTTTTGGTAGAGTCCTTAAGTTTCCTGTCTACATAAAATTATGTCATCTGTAAACAGGGACAATTTGATTGCATCTTTTCCAATTTGGATGCTCTTTATTTCTTTCTCTTGCTTGATTGCTCGGGCTAGAACTTCCAGTTCTATGTGGAATACAGCGGTGAAATTAGTCTTCATTGTATTTTCCCAGTTATTAGAGGTAAAGCTTTCAGCTTTTCCCTGTTCAATATAATGTTAGTTGTGGGTTTGTCATTATGTATGAAGGTACTTTTCTTATATCACTAATGTGTTGAGAGTTTTTATGATAATGAAATGTTGAATTTTATGAAATGCTTTTTCTGCATCTTCCAAGATTATCATATGGTTTTTTTCTCTCATTCTGTTGATATGAACTATTATGTTTATTGACTTGCATATGTTGAATGATCCTTGCATCTCTGGGATAAATCATGCTTCATCATGGTTTATAATTTTGTGATGTGTTCTTGGATTTGATTTGGTAGTATTTTCCTGAGGATTTGCAACAATGTTTACTATTGATAGTGGCCTGTAGTTTTTTGTTGTTGTTGTTGTTGTGTCTTTGCCTGGTTTTTCTATCAGGATAATGCTGGCTTCATAGTAAGAATTTGGAAGAATTCCTCCCACTTCACTTTTTTGAAATAGTTGAAGAGTACTAATGTTAGCTCTTCTTTAAATGTTTGGTGGACCAACCCCGTGGCTCACTCGGGAGAGTGCAGCGCTCCCGCCGCGGGTTCGGATCCTATATAGGGATGACTGATGTACTCACTGGCTGAGTGCGGTGCAGATGATACCAAGCCAAGGGTTACAATCCCCTTACCGGTCACCAAAAAAAATAAAAATAAAATGAAATAAAAAATAAATGTTTGGTCGAATTCGGCAGTAAAACCACCTGATCCTGGGCTTTTCTTTGTAGGGAGTCTTTTTATTATTGATTCAATCTCGTTACTTGGTATTAGTCTATGCAGGCTATCTATTTCTTCTTGGTTTGGTCTTGATAGGTCATATTTGTCAGAATTTATCCATTTCCTCTAGGTTTTCAAATTTATGGGTGAATAATTATTAATAGTAATCTCTAATAATCCTTTTTTTTTTTCTTAGTGGTATCAGGGGTAATGTCTCCTTTTGTATTTCTGATTTTATTTATTTGAGTCTTTTCTCTTTTTTCCTTGGTTAGTCCAGATAATGGTTTGCCAATTCTGTTTATCTTTTTGTGAAAGCAACTTTTCATTTGATCTTTTGTGTTGTATATTTAGCTTCAATTATTTACTTCTGCTCTGATTTTTATTATTTTCTTCTTCTACTTACTGTGGATTTGCTTTGTTCTTGCATTTCTAATTTCTTGAGATGCATTCTGAGGTTGGTTGAAATATTTTTATTTAAAAATTTTTTTGATATAGTCATTTATTGCTACAGCCTTTCCTGTTAATACTGCTTTGGCTGTATTCAATTGGTTTTAGTACATTGTTTAGATGTTTAGTATCTTTCTGTCTCCATTCATTTCCAGAAATGTTTTAGCTTCCTTCTTTTCTTTTCTTTTTTATTGAATCATGATTGATTGTATATATTTTGGGGGTTCAACCTTGATGTATATTGATCAAATCAATATTATTAATATATATGTTATTATAAATTGTACTTATTCTTTATGCCCCTTATACAATCTCTCTGTATCCCCCTCTTCTCTCTCCCTCCCTCCTCTGATAACCTTAAATTTCTTCTCTCCTTCTGAAAGAGTAACAGCTGCTCTGTTGATTTGTTCCCTAGATGATCTGTCCAGTGCTAAGAAAGGTGTGTCCAGGTCTCCCATGAGTGACATAGAACAGTTGCTTCTTCTATCATTCTGGAATGGGCTTTGTGGAGAGAGCTATCCTCTTCTTTTCTTTGGTCTCTGCTGGTGACTCTCCTTGTGTCAATGCACCTGAATGGCTTGCGGGCCATCTTCATGGTGCTTGTGGCACCTAGCCACTTTTGTGGCAGCTGTGGCTATTGTGTTGGCTGTGATGGGCCACCCACATGGAAGTGGTGTTTATGGTGTGCTCCTTGCCTGGTTATAGGAGGAGGGGCCTGTCCCTAGATCCGTACCTCAGGACCCTGGGCAAGCCCCATGGCAGCAGTGGCATGACTGGTTGCAGGAGGAGGGGCCAGTCTCTAGCTCCAGGACTCAGGACCGCCGGGTGGGCCTGTGACAGTGGCAGCATGCTTGGTTGTGGGAGGAAAGGTAAATCCCCAACTCCATCTGTTTTTACATTCTAAGTTGTTGTAGGGAACTTCAGTGGGGGGGGAGAGGGGAAGGGGGAAGGAAAATTGGTGAGAGAAGGAGGAAGGAGGAGGGCATGGTTGAGGCCCGTGGCACTCCCCTCATTCCTGCAGGGGAGACCAGGGGCCTTCCAGTGTTGGCTTGGTCATTGCTGGGCTGAATGAAGATTTCAGGGGTGTGTGGCTGAAACCCTCAGCCCCCAACGATGGAAAGGCATTACATGCTCTTGGATTGGAAGAATTAACATCATGAAAGTGTTGCTATACTACCCAAAGTGATCTACAGATTCAAGGCAATCCTCATCAAAATACCAGTGTTATTCTTCCCAGAAATGGAAAAAATAATCTTAACATTCATATGGAACAATAAAAGACCCCAAATAGCCAAAGCAATCCTGAACAAAAAAAATAAATAAAGTCAGAGGCATAACACTACCCGACTTCAAATTATACTACAAAGCTATAGTAACCAAACAGCATGGTGCTGCATAGATATAGACACTTGGACCAGGGGAACAGAACAGAGAACCCAGAAATCACCCCTCAGGCTTAGAGTCATCTGATATTTGACAAAGCAACATAAAACATGCATTGGGGAAAGACTGCCTCTTCAGTAAGTGGTGCTGGGAAAATTGCATATCCATATGCAGAAGAATGAAACTAGACATGCACCTGTCACCATATACTAAAATCAACTCAAAATGGATTAAAGACTTAAGTATAAGACCTGAAACTGTAAAATCACTGAGGTAAAATATAGGTGAAACACTTCAGGAACTAGGTCTCGGCACAGACTTTATGAACATGAACCCAAAAGCACAGGCAATAAAGGAAAAAATAAACAAATGGGATTATATCAAACTAAAAAGCTTCTGCACACAGGAAATGATCAACAGAGTGAAATGACAACTGACAGAGTATGAGAAAATTTTTGCTAAATATGCATCTGACAGGGATTAATATCCATAATATATAAGGAGCTCAAGCAATTACACAGTAAAAAAACAAAGAACCCAATTTAAAAATGGGAAAAGGAGGTGAATAGACATTTTTCAAAGGAAGACATACGAATGGCCAACAGGTACATGAAAAAATGCTCAACATCACTAGTCATCAGGGAAATGCAAATTAAAACTGCATTGAAATATCACATCATCCCAGTTAGACTGGCTATAATCAAAAAGATGGAGAATAACAAATGCTGACGAGGGTGTGGAGAGAAAGGAACACTCCTCCACTGTTGATGGGACTGTAAATTAGTATAACCACTACGAAGGTTTCTCAAACAACTACAGATTGATCTTCCATACTACCCAGCAATCCCTCTTCTGGGTTTATACCCAAAGGAATGGAAATCATCATGTTGAAGGGATACCTGCACTCCCATGTTCATCACAGCTCTGTTTACAAGAGCCAAGATATGGAACTAACTTAAACGTCCATTGATGGACGATTAGATAAGGAAACTGTGGTAGGTATATAGACACCATGGAATACCACTCTGCCATAAAAAAGAATGAAATTCTCCCATTTGCAACAACATGGGATGAGGCTGGAGAAACTTACATTGAGTGAAATAAGCAAAGCACAGAGGCATAAATACCACATGTACTCGCTCATAAGTGGGAACTAATAGAGAAAGAAGGAAGGAAAGAAAGACCACAGTGGTGTGTTGGACTTCCAGAGGGAGAAAGCATACCTAGGGATACAAAGTGGAGAGGGGAAAGGCGAATGGGGAGGGAGGTCGGAGATAATTGGGTGGGGGACACGGGATATAATGGCAACGTGTAGTAATGGGCATGCTGCCAGTATGGATCTGGACATCACGACTTCAGCAGGAGTGTTGACAATCAGCTTTGTATCTCATGAATATTCATAACCAATAAAGGAAATGTACTATGCAAAAATAAATAAATAAATAAATAAATAAAATCTAAAGTGGTGAATATATGGGTGTTTGTTATAGTATTGTCTCTAGTTTTTTGTGTTTTAGATTTTTTTTTTTTCCTTTTTGTCTTTTCTCGTGTCCGGCAACGGATCGCAACCCTCAGTGTCGCGCCCGTACCGGACCGGGACAGCAACGGGATCGCAACCCTTGGTGTTGCTCCCACACCTCGCTCAGCCAGTGAGCAGGAACCGGTCTGTATGTGGGATCCGAACCCTCTGCGGGAGCGCCACCGCGCCCCCAAGCGGCGCACTGTAGCAGTGCGCCACCGGGCCGGCCCTAGATTTTTAATAATAATAAATAAATAGAAACCAAAAAGGAAATGCTGACATTGACTGTAATTAACCACAATTTGCCATCTAAGCCTATTCCTGCAAGTTGGAAGTCTTCAATAGACTTGAGTTCCAAAATAGTTAACATCGCTCGGATTCTGCTTGTGTAATTGTTGCGTAGGTGGGTAGACACATTTCTGGTGATTTCTACTCCACCATCTTCTCGTAATTCTCCAAGTGAATATATTTTGAAGAGAAGAATTTAAAAAAAATAAAATATTTTAATCAGAAGAGGGTATAAACAAAGCAGAAATTTAGAACAGCCAGATCAGATGGGCCCCAATTTGTTATGTCTTCCAAGCAATGTCCATCAACAGGCATGTTATTGGCCTTGGGTTTATCCTGATTTTCTACCTTTCTCCACAGAAAAATTGAAGGTGACCATTCCCAAGGGACATTTGGTGGCTATAGTAGGAGGACAAGCTGAGCTTATCTGCCAGTTGTTCCCACAACAGAGTGCAGAGCATATGGAGGTGCGCTGGTTCAAAGGGGACCATTCCAAACCTATTCATCTATATAGAGGTGTTCATGAAGTGAATGAAGAAACTGCCCCAGAATATGCAGATCGCACAGAGTTTGTAAAAGAGGTCATTCGAGAGGGCAAAGTGACCCTCAGAATCTACAATATCAGCATTTCTGATGAAGGATCATACCACTGTTCATTTAAAGATAATGGCTTCAGTGATGTGGCCAGCATGAATCTCAGTGTGGCAGGTAAGTGTGATTGTGGGACACTGAATACCAATATCCTTGTGACCCCATAAGTTGAAACCTGTAGATATTATCTCAATGTTTCTTTTTCACTTCTCCTTCTCACATTTTACTTTATTATTTTTTTTCAATGAACTTTTTATTTTGAGCAAATTCAAATTTACAGAATAGTTACAAGAGTAATACAATGAACCTCTGGACACTTTCCATCTAGAATCATCAGTTGTTTACATATTTGCTTTGTTGCTTTTATTTACATCTACATCATTATTATAATTACTATTATTATTATTTTCTGACTATTTGGGAGTAAGTTATAGACATCATGACTCTTCATTCTTGAATACATCAACATGTACCTCATAAGAATAAAGACATTATTTTCCACTATATAATTATCAAATTCAAGGAATCTGACATTGACAGTGCTGTGATCTAATATATAGTCCACATTCACATTTCACCAATTTTCCCAAATATCCCTTATAGCTATCGTCTTTCTCTATCTTTCCTCTCTCTCTTTCTTTCTCCCTCCTTCGTTAACTTCTTTCTTCCTTTTCACCTTTCTCCTGTCTTTCTGTCTGTCTCTTTTTCTTCTATCCAGGATCCAATCCAGGATCATGTTTTGCATTTAGTTGCCATACCTTGCTATGAGCTATGAACATCAAATATCCCCAAACATTTGTTTCTCTCCTGCCTTGGCCAGCCTTCCTCTGATTTGGAGCACTGAGTTTCTCCTCCTTTCTTGTCTTCAAGTGAGTTTGAACTGCAGGCATTCTCTCATGACCTCTCCTTCCTGGAGAAGGATCTGTTTTTTTCTATCTGATTACTTATGGTAGATACATCCTATTTTTTCCAAGCATTTAAGAATCATCAGATAAAACATACATCAAAAAGTCAGTTAGGTTTTTTTTTCTCCTCACTTTTTCACTAGAAAACTTTCTAAATTCTGTTCTAGATCAAATATGATTGCTTTCATCCAAAAACTGTGTAAGATAAAGCCCAAAGCACAGGGTGTGATTTTGAGACCAAGTATGTTACTGAGTTTCTTTTTCATATTTTAAAAAAGATTTTACATATTACAAATAGTGAGAAAAATTCATATATTTACTGAAAAAAAACCCACTATGCTGTAAGTAGGCAGTGTAGAGGGGACAATTACTCTAATTCATAATTTAGTTTGACTCTTATAGCTTTCCAGCTCAACCTCAATAATAACTATCTTGATTTTTCTTCTTTTTTCCACCAGCACTCGGCTTGGAGACCCAGATTCTTGTTCAGGCCCCTAGCACTGATGGGCTCACAGTGGGGTGTAACTCACGAGGGTGGTTTCCACAGCCCCAAATGGAATGGAGAGACAGCAGGGGAGAGGTAGTTCCATATTCATCAAAATTGTCCACACAGGATGGAGCCAGATTATTCCACGTGGAGATGACTCTTCTCCTCAGAAAATATTCACAGAGCAATATTACTTGCTACATTTGCAACCCTCTAACAGGTGAAGGGAAACAAATAAGTATCATCCTAGCAGGTGAGTGTTCAGTTGTCAGGGTTTTGTTGCCAACATGGAAGCATAAAGAGAAAAGTAAGTAAATAATTAATGTTAAAGAGCTTAGCACATTGCCAAGCATCCTTTGAATGTGACTTTGTATTTGTTATGGATTTGGGTACTACAGATGCTAAGAAGATTTTAGAAGAAAAAATTAACAAGATTTCATATGTCAACTCATAAGTAAAACACACATAACAAATTTAAAGGTATTTAAAGTTTACTATCTTATTAGAGCCTCACAATATTTGTGTGTAAGCTTAACAAGATTCTAGCTTAGTAACTTAAAAAATGTTACTGAACTTCCTGAAGTATAATTTTCTCATCCTGGAAATGAGTATAATCCCACTTCATGGGTTTTTGTGAATCTTCAATGAATCAGTAAAAGCAAAAAGCTCTGCTTCTTGTCATGGAATATTCAGTACTAATATTATCATTTAAAACTTCTTGAAAATTCAGTAAAAATGGATTTTTATGAATATTTATAAGTAGACAGATGTTGAAAGAAGCCAGTCAACCTTGGACTTTCCAGCCTCCAGAACTGGAGAAATAAACTTTGCTTTTTTAAAGAAACAAACAAACAAACAAACAGCAGTAAGAATAACGTGGAACTAACACACAGGTTTCCTGATTATTAATTGGTTCATTGCTAGTTCCCTTGAGGCATGATGAGTGGATGTCAAAGGCCAGTCAGGAAAAGACTTTGCCCTTTGTCAACAAAGGTACCCTTAGCTAACACTGCTGTATAGTAATCAAGGTTGATTACAGGAACAAGGTAATGGGGGTCAGAGAATGTGCTTTCAGATGTCCCTTTCAGTGTCTCTTTGTAGCCTTGTCAAAGTCATGGCTTTTTCTCTTAAAGTTTTAATCTAATATTCTTGGTTGATTAGAAAACAGCCTGAAAAGAAATAAATATTGCCCTGAGTCTGTAACAATAATCTGGGAAAATAGGTGCAGCAGAAAAGGTGGTAAGAGTTGGTATGAGTCTATAAATATTGTAAATGCATTGCCAATGGAATTTACTGATAGATTGAATGTGTGATGAAAGAGGAATAGAGGAATAAAGAATGATTCCAAGGTTATGATCCTGAGTTGTAAATGATTCATCTACCAACATAGGGAATTTTAATGGACACATCTTGGAAATAAAACCATGCCTGTAAGACTTGCAAGTGAAAATGTTGACTGGGAGTTAGATATACCAAATTTGAAGTTCTGTGGAGGAGACCAGGCTTGAGACATAATATGAATGTCTTCAAACTAAAGAGAATATTTTAAAAATGAAACTGGATAACATCACAAAATGAGTAAGCATAGATCCGGTTCCTTCTATAATCAGGAAGTATTTTGCTGAAACCGTTAGTGTGAGACAAGAGAGAGGCTTCTTTTCAATGCATTACAACCTCAAAGTAAATTCTATCCCCAAGACATGCTTAAGGCTTGTACTTGCAAAAAATTGTACTTGCAAAAAAAAAAAAAAACTGCCACTAAACCAGTTTGACCGATGTCTAGCCATGACCCAAATACAAAAAGATAAAGAATTGAAGAGCCTGAGAGAGAATTCTTCTGTATTAGCAGGAAACTCCTAATCAAGTCCTGCTCCATGTGGTGGATTTATTGATATCTAAGTTACTCTGTTCGTTCTTTCAGATGACCTGTTTACTTCACACCACATTTGGATGACGTCTTTGATTTCAATTCTGTGTATAATGTTTCTGTTGCCTGTTGGGTACACTTGCTTTCTGAGTTTCACAATTAAAGGTAAATGGTGCGACAAGGGTGGAATCATTAATGGCATCTCTCCCAACTTGATGCCTAGGTCACACGGGGTGTTTAGGCAAAGTTGAATGACATTTGTCTCCCAACACCATGGAAGATATGTGACATGTTTCTCACTTTAGAGGTGTTGAACTTCACAACTCTCAATTATGAGCTTCCTAAGATGATGTTTTTAGGGATGAGGTCTGTATAGATGTCTCCTGAGCTTTTTAGATCCACAGTTACTTTAAACTCCCAAAGGAGAGTTTTTGTCTCTCAAGAAATGGTTCATTTGGTCAAAGTGAAGTAGATCCAACCCGTGCTTCATCAAAACCATTTAGTGTGGATGAAACCTGCGGGTCTTGCTCTGGGATGTATTTAATTTGATCACAGTCTTCTTGCCTACACAGATTACCACTAGTTTTCAAAGTTACAACTTCCTCTATTCAGGGTCTTGAATAAAATTAACATGAAAAAGATATAGGTATACAAACTAACACCAGATCCTTTACAACCATACTCTTCCTTCTGATTTTATGGCTAAAATATATGAATACTCATATATTAATCCTCTGAAATGATACAGTGATGATTCATCAAGTACAGGAACATCAGATATTCATAAGAAATTCCCTTTTCTGAACCTACGAGTAAGCAAAATGTATCATCTATAGTCAAGTATAACTGCTAGATGGGAAGGTTGCAAATTCAGAGATTGAGCAGACAATTTAACAGACAGTAGCAATGATATAGTTCACTAACAAATGTAAATTCAAAGTGATTAAGGAAGAATAAAATTTACCATTGATTCAAATATTTTGTGAGTCAGAGAAATTGCATCCACTGTGCCCATTTTCCCACTTAATCCATAATCCCCTGTACCACATTTTTTGAGTGCCTACCTTAAACTAGGCCTTGTGATTATCATCTCACAGAATTTATCTAAATTAATCCTAAAAGGAGGTTCTATTATTGTCATCATTTATAGATGAGAATGTCATGGATCACATAGCTCATAAGTGGCAGAGCCAATATTGTACTACAGACATGTCGGGCTCCAAATCTCATGCACTAATCACTATACTGTTATTTCTGGTATTTGGTTTCAAGTTTGTGCTTGTACACCTTCATGTCTGAGGAGGTCATTTAGTCATGAGATAGCCCATTCCATAGTGATCGTGGGAAATTTCTTCCCTTTGGATATCAAATCATTTGTAGATAATATCTACAATTATAATTCTGGAGCCACAAAGAGTAGCTCTTCTCTGTTTTCCGGCATGAAAGTCTTTCAGAGACTTGAGATTGTAACTCCACTCCACATGCTTCTCTGAAATATATCTCCAGTTACTTCAACTCACAAGTTTTCTAGTTATTCTCCTATAGAAGGTGATAGAAAACGAAGATTAGCTATTTCATGGATACAAACTTCAGTAATAGATGAGAAAACATTTTAATGATGGGCTCTATTAAGCTTGCTTGTGGAAATGAGCCTCTGGACAAGAAATTTAACCTGAGCAGTGTAAAGTGGGTTTTCTGCAGTACTTTAGAAGTCAGGCTCTTTCAGCTCTCAGAGTCTGTGGATCCAAGGCAATACTTTTCTTTCAGCCAAATCAGTGTTGCCACAGCCACCTCTGTAAAAGCCCCAAATCCTCAGAATCCCCAGCAATCCAAAAGGGATTCTCAGCCTCTTTCCAGTCTCCTCAGCCAGATGAGTCTTGTGCTAGATTAAGTGGTTAGAGTTAGGAAAGGAAAATCTCCTTAGCCCTGCTGGAGCTGCAAGTCCAATCTCATTAGAACCTGCCACCACTCACAAACCAAACTCAAAATCTGAGCCTTATCTAGGTTGAGTGGATATGGGCCTAGGATGAATGGATATTCCTGCCTTTTCGGTTAGTTCTCTTTAGGCTCATGATGCCCTACACTCCTGAGTTCTGCTTGGTCAATTCTAACTGTCTCTGTTCTAGAGCGTACATCTCGATGTCGTGTGTTGAAGTCAAGTGCTGCTCAGCTCCTGTGTTACATGTTCTGTTGTGGAGTAGTCCTTGCTGTATATGTGCCATTCCGGAGCAGAGGTAAATGGAATTAGTAGTGGTGGACATTCTCTTGGCAGCTTACCTTTTTCTAGAATTCTGTTTCCAGAGGGTTGGTTAACGCAAGCTATGTGACTCTCATTATCACCAGGAGGATCAGTGGTTTGGGTGGTATCTCAGAGGATCGATTCTAACACTGAGATTGTGGGTGTCAAAGGCTGAAGCTGCTCTGACTGCTGCTGGTGTTTTAAGCTGTACTGAGGGACAGAGCTCCTGCTACAAGAAGAAAGTAACACACTGGCTCTAGAAAATATAATTGAGTCTTGAAAGATTTACTGGGTCCTCTTAATATTTTGTTGTACATTCATGACTCTAGGTCAATGTTTCTTGTCTACTTGGGGCTTAGAATCCACATATAAATGTTTTCCACCTAATTCCAAACTAACATATACCTCCAAAATTTGCCTGCAATTTCAGGAGGTTTATGAAACATTAAAATCATTCCTTGATTCTATTATCTATGACATGTGGCTGCTTTTTAGAGGTGACATTGATGAATAAATATAATAATATTAAAAAATATGGTTTTGGCATTTGACAATTCTTCATTATTTAAAGGTTTAAAAGGGAAATGTATATATAGGACAGTATCACTAATCAAAGCAAAGAAATACTTTATTTTACTTGAGGGTTTGCTCCCAAACCGCAAAGGAGATCTTTAGAGAATTGGAGTGGTCACCAAGAGGTCTCTCTCTGTTCCCTCACTTCTCATCCTCTGGCTGGATAGGTCTTGAGCCACAGCAGGCATAGGCCTATATTTCAACCATTTCCACTGAAAATTTCAAAGTCCTACAGCAGAATTGATCAAATCAATGAATTAAAAAGCCATATTCTTTACTGCCAGCTAAAGAAAACAAATATGTTTGTATGAGGTAATTCAAAAAGTTCATGTAAAAATAGAAATAAAAGGTAACATAGATCTTTCCATGAATTTTTTGAAGAGTACCCTCATATTAACAGGGCAAGCACCTGGATACAATGTGGGGGAAAAATAGGGCACCTAAGCCACAACTCGCCCTGTCTTCTTCATTTCAAGATGTGAGTACTCATTCCTGAGGATTCTGTAGGAGCAAGTGTGAAGAGACCACGATACAGACCAACTCAGCCATTGCAAGAGCTGTCTGAGGCCAAAACAAATTACTCCCGATTGTCAAGGATTTTCAAGTTTGATGACTTCTATTTGCGGTCAGCAATTTCTTTCAAATGAATCCATAGGAGTTGAGCTGATTATACGTTAGGTATATGTTTACCTTTATATGTAAGTGCTACAGTGGCTGTACCACTTTACATATCACCAGTACCAGATAAGACAGCACTTCTGCCTCATGCTTTCCAGTATTTGGTTCTGTTAGTTCTTCTAATTTTAGCCATTCTGATGTGTGCAGTTGTATCCCATCTTGGTTTTAATTTAATTTTTCTGAGCATTTTATTTAAATGGAGTCATACAATATTTGCTCTTTTTTGACTGGCTTCTTTCTTTAGCATAATATTGTATATGTCCATCCATGTTGTAAGTATGTAATAGTTCTTCATTCCTTTTTATTAATTAATTATATTCCAACATATAAATATAGTATGTATATATATATATATAGTATATATATATATATATATAGTATATATACTATAGTATAGTTTTTTTCATTTATTCTTTAGTTACTGTACATTGGGTTGTTTCCAACTTTGGCTATTATTAATAATTCTACTGTAACCATTTGTGTGCAAGCTTTGGTGTGGATATATATTTTCATATCTATCTTGAACTTCCCAGCCTGCAAAACCATGAGCTAAATAAACCTCTTTAATTTATAAATTATCCGGTCTTGTGTATTCTGTTACAGCAACACAAAACAAACTAAGACAGTAGTCATCCCAATTTCTTCTTATTTTTTCATTTTTGTATACTCTGTGTCCATATGAATTTTAGGATAAGACTGTCAATTATTGCAAAACTGGTTGTTAAATTTATAGGGACAACATTGAATCTGTAGATCAGTATGGGGAATATTGCCATATTAATCAATATTAAGTCTTTGAATCAATGAACAAGGGTGACTTTCCATATATCTAGATCTTACTAATTACTTTCAACAGTGTTTTATAGTTTACAGCATACAAGTCAGAGACCTTTATTATTTAATTCCTTGGAATTCATTCTTTTTTATGATATAATAAGTGGAATTGTTTTCTTAATTTTACATTCATATTGATCATTGCTGAAGTATAGAAGTATATCTAATCTTTGTATACTCTTATTGATCTTGTATCCTGAAATCTTGCTGAATTAATTGATTAGATATTGTCCTAATAGTTTTTTTTATGGATTCCTTAGGATTCTATGAGTATATACATAATCATGTTATCTGAAAATTGAGATAGATTTATTTCCTTTTCAATCTGGACTTTTAAAAAAAATGCTTTATTAAGGTATGATTGACATACAAAAGCTGTTTATATTTAATGTATATAATTTGGTGAGTTTGGAGATAAATATATACCTATGAAACTGTCACCAAAATCTATGCCATAAACCTGCAAAAGATTCCTCCTGCTTTCCTATTTATTATTATTACTTTTTTGTGATAAGAACATTTACCTATCCTCTTAATATATATTCAAGTATACAATACAATATTAATTATAGGCACTATACTGTAAAGTAGATCTATAGGACTTATTACTCTTATATAACTAATATTTGTAGTTTGTCTAATACTTTCTCAATTCCCCCTTCTTTAAGCGCCTGGAAATCACCATCTACTTTCTGCTTCTATGAGCCTGACACTTTTAGATTCCTCATATAAGTGGTATTATGTATCCTTCTGTCTGGTTTTTCACTTAGCATAATGTCCTCCAAGTTTATCCATGTTGTCACAAATGACAGGACTTCCTTATTTTTAAGGATGAATAATATCCCACTGTATGCATATAACACATTTTCTTTATCCCTTCATCCACTGAAGTTGCTTTCTTTTCTTCTGGATCATATTGTAGGTCTATTTTGAAGTTCTAGAGGAATCTCTATACTGTTTTTCATAATGGCTGTATCAATTCACATTTCCACCAAGTATATAAAGTTTTCCTTTTCTCCACATCCTTGTCAACACTTATTTTTTGAATAATTGATAATAGCTACTCTAACAGGTATGAGGTGATATCTTATTGTGGTTTTGATTTGCATTACCCCAATGACTAGTGATGTTGAGCTTTTTTAATATACTTGTGGTCATTTATATGTCTTCCTTGGAAAAATATCTATTTGGGTCCTTTGCCCATTTTTAATCTGGTAATGTGTGCGTGTGTGTGTGTGTGTGTGTGTGTGTGTGTGTGTGTGTGTATGTATTGTCTTGCTATTGAATTGTATGAGTCCCTCACACATTTTGGATATAGGACCCATATTGGATATATGGTTTGCAAATATTTTCTTCCACAATGTGACTTGCCTTTTAATTTTGTTGATTGTTTCCTTTGATGTGCAGAATAATTTTAGAATGTAGCCCTATTTATTTATTTTTGCTTTTATTGCCTGTGCTTTTGGTGTCATATCCAAAAAATTATTGCCAAAACCAATGTCATGGAGCATTTCCCTTTTTTTTTTTTTTTTTTTTTTTACGATTTTTATCTATTTGGAGTTCACTTTTATTGTATGGTGTAAAATAGAATCTAATTTCAGTTTTTTTGCAGGTGTATATCCAATTTTCCCAACATCATTTATTAACTGGACTATCTTTTTCCTAATGTGTATTCTGGCACTTTTGTCAAAAATTAGTTCACCGTATATGCATGGTATTATTTCTGGGATTTCCATTCTGTTCCATTGGTCTATGTGTCAGTAGCAAACTGTTTGGCTTGCTATAGCTTTGTAATACAATTTGAAATCAGGAAGAATGATTTCTTCAGCTTCTCTCTTTTTGCTGAATATTGCTTTAGCTATTTAGAGCCTTTTGTGATTCCATATACATTTTAGTATTGCTGTATCTATTTCTGTAAAGAATGCCATTGGGGTTTTTATAAAGATTATGTTGAATCACTTCTGTTAGATCTCTTCAGGTAGTATGGACATTTTGACAATATTAATTCTTCCAATTGAGGAACATGAATTACTTTTTCATTTACTTACATATTCTTTAATTTCTTTCATCAGTCTTTTATAGTTTTCAGTGTACAGATCTTTCATCTCCTTGGTTTATTTCTAAATATTTTTATTGTAAATGGAATAGTTTTCTTAATTTTTTTAAAAATTGATATTCATGGGGCAGAGAGCTGACTGTCAGCACCTGTGCCCAGGATGTGGTGATCAGATCAATACTATCAGCATGCCCACTACCTCGAATTGCTTTTATTCCATGTGTCACCCCGCACCCTCTCCCCAATTCGCCTCTCCCTCCTCTCCCCTCACCCCCAGCAACACTAGGTTTGTTCTCTCTCTCTGCAAGTACAATGCACCACTGTGTTCTTTGTTTCCCTCCTTCATTTTCTCTTAGTCCCCAGTTATGAATGAGGACATGTGGTATTTCTCCTTCTGTGCCTGGCTTATTTCACCTAACATAATTTTCCCCAAACTCATCCATGTTACTGCAAATGGCAGGATTTCATTCTTTTTTATGGCTATTATTCCATTGTGTATATTTACCATCTTTTCCTTATCTAGTCATCTGTCAATGGATATTTAGGCTGGTTCTATACCTTGGCTATTGTAAATAAAGCTGCAATGAACATGAGAGTGCACATATCCCTTTGACATGATGATTTCCATTCCTTTGGGTATATACCCAGAAGTGGGATTGCTGGATCATATGGCAGTTCTATCTGTAGTTGTTTGAGAAACCTCCATACTGTTTTCCATAGTGGCTATACTAATTTACAGTCCCACCAACAGTTCAGAAGAAATTCCCTTTCTCCTCAACCTCATCAGCATATGTTATTCTTAACCTTTTTGATTATTGCCAGTCTAACGAGTGAGATGATATCTCAGTGTAGTTTTGATTTGCATCTCCCTTATGATTAGTGATGTTGAGAATCTTTTCAAGTACCTGTTAGCCATTTTTATGTCTTCCTTTGCAAAATGTCTCTTCAGCTCCTTTGCTCATGTTTTAATTGGATTATTTGGGTTTATTTTTTACTGTGTAGTTGTTTGAGTTCCTTGTATATTCTGAATATTAATCCCATGTCAGATGTATAGTTTGCAAATATTCTCTCTCATTCTTAGGTTCTCTCTTCCCTCTTTGGATTGTTTCCTTTGCTGTGCAGAAGCTTTTTAGTTTGATATAATCCCATTTATTTATTTTTTCTTTTGTTGCTTGTGCTTTGGGGCTCTCATTCATAGTCTTTGCCCAGTCCTACTTCCTGAAGTGTTTCCCCTATGTTGTCCTTTAGTAGTTTTATAGTTTCAAGTTATTTATTCATAGAAACACAACTAATTTTTGTTGAGTTTGTATGCTGCAACTTTACTGAATTTCACTTTTAGTTCTAATAGTTTTTGAGAGATCAGTTGGGACTAGTCTGCAGCAGTGGTGACTATGGTGTCTGTGGTGCAGGTGCCCATGGTGCAGCTATGGAGGCAGAATCTGAAGCTTGTGCATGCACACAGTAGCCATGGCTCCAGGTTTGAGGTTCCTGCAGGATTGGGAGGGATGATATAGCCCAGTACTATGGTGGCACAACAACAATGACTCCTTCTTGGATGAGAGAGTACAGTAGCATCATTGTGTCCCAGAGGTCCATTGCCTTGATAGCTTTTGGTTACCTCAGTGACAAAAGCTGCAAGAATCCTCTGTAGATCAATTCACTGAAACCAGGGTGGCACCCACCATTGTGGCTGGTACTAATAGCTTTTCCCCTTCTTTTTGTTCCCAGCCATCTCCAGATGGCTCAGACATGCCAAACTCCCCAAATCTTTCTGTGCTTTTATTCTCATTTTGCTTTACTGTGCAGCTGCAAGTTTACATTTTACCACTTGCTAATGCTATTTTTATTTGTGTATAATTGTCAATCACTTTTTTGTGAGAGGATGAAGCCTGTTATCACGTACTTTGCTATGTTGCTAATCCTAATTTTGACTTCGATTTCTTTTTGATCCAATGGTTGTTTAAGAGTGTGTTGCTTGATTTTTTTGTATTTGTGATCTTTTCCTTTTTCTTTTTATTATTGATTTCTAGTTTCATTACATTGTTTTTGGAAAATGTACATGGAATGATTTCAGTCTTC